TGGGTTTCAGCCTCACAAACCAAACTAACAGGATTTGAGAGGCAGGAAATCTCATTTCACCATTAACACAAAATAAAAGGCCAGCAGAACACAAGGTTTAATCCCGTTTCGGGTCTCTGCCTCTGCCCGCGTGACATGCATCCCTTGGAAGAATCAGCTACTGTAGCCGCGCCCCCGACCCTACCCCCAGATGACCTGTGCTTCATCTCAGGCACCCAGGTACTGCACTTCCTACTAGGTTTGAAATCAGAAGTACCATGAAAACACCACAGAGAGGGAGAAGAGGCTCTCCCAGGCCAGGCAGCAGAGACCCGCTGGCCACAGCATCCCAGTCCTTTATTCATCCAGCCAATGCTGTGTACATTTGCTAAGCACCTTGCCTGTAGTATCCTATTGACTCTCTCCAACTTAGTTGGGTGATTTTATACATGCAGCTCAGAGAGGTTACCAAACTTACCCCAGGTTGCACAGCATTGGAATCCAAGGTCTATATGATACCAAAGTTCAGTCTCAGCCAGTAGGCTGGAAAGCTTCCACTTTCCACTTCCGGGCCAGCCCATGAGATGTGGGTTCAATCCCTGGGCCGGGAAGATCACCTGGAGCAGGGCATGGCGACTCATTCCAGTGTTCCTGCTTGGGGAATCCCGCGGACAGAGGAGCCTGGTGCACTACAGTGCATGAGGTCACAAAGAGTCAGACATGACTGAAGCGACTTAGCACACAAAGGTTTGGCAGTAAAAGCAACGAAGACCCAGAAGAGCCAAAAATTTAAAAAATAATAATAAAAAAACGTGTATTGAGTTCCTATTCTGGAAGGCCTGGTCTCAGTAGTAGCAAGTATGTGGCACTTAATAGTAATTCAGCATGCTCTTTCCCGTTGGGAATGGAGCCTCTGAGTAGAGATTTTCAAATCATTGAAAACTGGTATAGTGCAGGCAGCCAGCAAAGGAAAGAAGGGCTGTACCCAGTCCCACGGTCGGTGTGGGCACATCTGCAGATAAGATTCAAGGGCAGAGACACCAACAGCTGGCCAGACATCACACAGCAAGCACTTGACCAACGAGGAGTTAGAGCAGCCCTGACTCTGTGGCTTCTGCCTTCTGTCCTTCTCCCGGGAAGACCCCCAAGTTGGAGCAGGGTCTCTGATGCAGTTGGTCTTCTGGCCAGCAGGGACCTGTCACCACTTGATTCTTCCTCCCTCTAGCCCTGTGGAGGAGGGGATAACCCATTCAAGGTTTCTGGGGCGTCAGCCTGGTTCCTTGGCAGCCAGCGAGGCACCCTGGGATGGGAAATCAGGCAGCCGCCCAGATATTATAAACAATTACCGCTAATTACCAGGCCTGCCAGTTCCCTATTGTCTGCTCACAATCCCACCAGACACTGAGGAGCAGACAGTGATGATGTTGGAGGAAACTTTCAATTTCAGGCTCTAGAAGGCCTTTCTCTGCCTGGGAGGTGGGCCCCTTTGGTGCCTTAGAACCCATGAGGCACTGCCGTTTCTTGGGCTTCAGGAGCCCAGACCCTCCTCACAGAATGGACTCCTGACCTTCAGGAGGCTGAGCTGGAAAAGAAACCAGCATGGAGGAAAGGCCAGATCACCCGCTGTGAGAGTCTTGGGGTTCTGTGAGAGGGCAGGCCATTCGCAGGGCTCAGTTCTTGTGACTGTTTGTCTTCAGGATTCTCAATTTCCCAGAGTCTTTGTTTCACTGAATTTGGATCAGCTGTCTCACCCTGGATCTATCAGCTCTGATCAGGGGACAAGGTACTGCCTTAGTTTAAGTCAAACCAGTCTCTTCAGTCAATGACCTCTGAGTTAATAACAGTGACTTAATACAAACATGTATTTTTTGTTCATGCAAACTTCAGCACAGGTGTTCTGGTCATTGCACCTAGCCAAACTCCTTTATTCTTTTTTAAAATAATCCAATGAGTGCTTATGATTCCTCTGCTCTCAGATATTTAGAGAATTTCCATTTTCACTCTTATAAATCATCCATGGGTAAATACAGTCCTTTTCTCCTCAACATCCAAAGGCCCACAACAATTGGTTTCCCTCTTTTTTTTCCTGAGACTGTCCTTTGCTGTGTTCTGTGACATTGTATGAACCTGCAACATTGACCTTCTCCAAGGTCCTGAACTAGACTCTCTTGCCCCTGCCTTGTCTCCATCACCCTCTTGGGAGAGAAGCACTTTCTCCTGCTCCTTACTGGGCTCCCTCACCCTTGTGGTGTCACCGTCCTGAGGCCCTCAGGACCCCCTGCTGATGACTCTGCTCAGTGTAGAGAGAAGATAGTGTGTGGGAAGTGACCTCCTTTCCTCTCGCCTTGTTACTGGGCCCTGGGTATCCTTCGGCCCCCCAGGTCAAATTCTCCTTTCCTGGTCCATTCTGGGCCACTGCATTCTGCAGTGATTCCTCTCTTCTGATGACCTCTGAGCTCTCACAACCCAAGGTGAGCAGGTAGGGGACTGGTGGTCTCGTAAGAAGACAGTCGTCCTCTTTAGTTGTTTCTTTGGGGGCAGCACATTTGTTTGCCCAGCAGAACGGTAAGTTCTTTGTGCATGGAGTCTTCTCTTGTTTGTTCCTGCAGCTTGCTTGGAATTTTATACGTGAAGATGCAGATACTCTTGGGTGCCGTGAATTGGGCAGTGGCCTGGTAGAGCAGCAGGCACTGCCATTTTCTAGTCCTCAGGCAGCTGTCTTTCTCACTCTAGGCCTCAGTCTTCCAATCTGTGAAATTGGGTCAGAGGACACTTTTCCTGGAGCTATTTGCAGAGCTGGAGAGTGAATCTTTTGCCAACTGTGAGGATTTGTGATTTAGCAGCGAGGTATAAAGGCAGACAGCTGTGGTTCAAACACCAGGGAGCATGTCTAGGGTGTGAAAAGCTGGGTACAGCCATAGAAGACCGTAAATGAGTCATTCTCTCTGAAGAACTGGAGCAAAGGTGGACAGAGTGGTTCGGAAGCAGAAGGGAACATCCTCGGGGTGAAACCAGATACCCCTCTGGCTCCTTCAAGGCTGACAGCCCAGCAGGTTCCCCTGGAAGGAAGCTGGGGACAGGTTGGGGGGCTGCTCTTAGGTCAGGAAACGAAGCATGCAGTGCCTTCAGTCGAAGCCTGAGGTAGTTGCCCCTTCCTCCTAAAAGACCCTGTGACAGGCTGCTGTGAAATCTGGCACAGGATGTGCTTGTTCAAAGTTAACTGTGATTCTTGGAACATGCCCAAGTGGAAGGTCACCCAGGGTTGGCCTTAAAGGTGTTGTATCCATGTGCTGACTTTGCCCTGTGAATTCTGGCTTCAGACTGGGCCGAATCTGCCTCTTTACATGAATAATACTGATAAAGGTTAAAAAAAACAAAAAATGAAAAAAACCTCAACCTCCTTTAGCTGTGGCGAGGATCCTAAGACAAAATGGGTTACAAGTGCTTTACTTCTGAAGATAATAGGTACATCAAGCTTGGTGTTTAGTGCCTGATCTCACTAAGTTTTTTCAGTAGTCATGTATGGATGTGAGAGTTGGACCATAAAGAAGGCTGAGTGCTGAAGAATTGATGCTTTCAAGCTGTGGTGTTGGAGAAGACTCTTGAGAGTCCCTTCAACAGCAGGGAGATCAAACCAGTCAATCCTAAAGGAAATCAACCCTGAATATTCACTAGAAGGACTGATGCTGAAGCTGAAGCTCCAGTACTTTGCCCACCTGATGCAGAGAGCTGACTCATTGGAAAAGACCCTGATGCTGGGAAAGATTGAAGGCGGGAGGAGAAGAGGACGACAGAGGGTGAGATGGGTGGATGGCGTCACTGACCCAATGGACATGAGTTTGAGCAAGCTGCAGGAGATGGTGAAGGACAGGGAATCCTGGTGTGCTGCAGTCCATGGGGTCGCAGAGTCGGACGTGACTGAGTGACCGAACGACAACAATAACTCATTAACTACTTATCAGATCTAGGAGACGGGAGTGTTATTATTCCCATTTCAGAGATGGGAAAGAAAAACCTAAAATTGGCTTTAGCAAAATAATAATAGTTGTTGTTGACTTACATAACCAGGAAGAAAAAGAAGTATCTCTTGCTTCAGGTAGAGTTTGATCCAGGAGCTTATGCAGTGCTGCCTGTGTGATGGCCTCCTTCATGGGCTGCTGATGGCAACGAGAACAGCAAGAGGCTCCAGGCTTCTGTCTTAGGTGCAGATCTCATGAGAAAATAGAGTCTCTCACTTCCTACAGTTCAAAAAAAGCTTCCTAGGCCGATTCTTGTGGGCTTGGGCGAGACGCCCAACTCTCAACCAGTCACTGGCCAAGGAAGGAATGGCCTGCTTGGCCAGGCTGAGCCCATGTGAGCCTCTGAAGCTGGGTCTGCTCTGCTCCGCGGGAATCAATGTCTTGAGGAGGGGGCTCCCCAAAGGAGATTTAAAATCTGGTTCCCAGAGGAAGGGGGCGGATATTTGGCAGCCCCACGGCAAGGACAAGCGTGGACCTCCGGGACTGAGCCATTGGTGTACTTTTTTTAACTGTCCAGTGCAAACCAGTCCTCTGGGGCTCATGTTAAAAGACAGTTTCTGATTCACCAGCTGGGGAGTCGAGTGGACCACCATTTCCGTTCTAATTAGCTCCCGGGCAGTGCTGCTGGTCCCTGGACCACACTCTGAGTATCAGCCCTAACCCATAGAGCCAGACATGGACAAGCATCACCTCCTGAGAGTCCTACCTGGAAAGGCAAGTGACATCATGCCCATTTCATGGAAGAAGAACCTGACACTTGGCATGGAGAGGTCAGACAGGACATAGAAACTAAGCCCTAGAATTTTGGAGTCAGAGCGGAGATTTTAGGGCCATTAAAGTAGAAAGGAAGAAGCTGAGAGCACACTGGCCTGCCTGAGACTGGGAGATGGATGTGGATAGAATCGCTGTGGAATTAGGGAGGTTCTGGAGCTGACTGCCTGAGTCATCGAGTCCTCAGTTGGCCCCCGGGAACGTCTGTTTTTGTCTCATTCTTTCTTGCAGCCTTAACTATGGGGGAGTTTGCCTGGCATCAGATGCCCAGTTCAGTGACTTCCTGGGCAGCATGGGACCGGCACAGTTTGTAGGCCGCCAGACCCTGGCCACCACGCCGATGGGTGAGTGTCCCAAGACCTGTTCCAAAGTGGGTGGGGGTCCCCACCAGAAGCCCTGTGTCTCTCCTCTGCCTGGGTTACATCCACTGAGCACTCGGCCTGGAGCCCAGGTTGCATCTGCCAGGCGCTCTGCAGAGCCCGGGCACTCGGCATGGGTTTGGTTCTGGTTGGTTTGTGGCTGGGAGCAGGGGAAGGGAATTGCATCCTCAACAGAGAGGAGGAGCTGAGTCCTTGATGGAGCTTCCAAGCCGCTTCCCAGTCTCAGCTCTTGGGGCCTGTTGCAGGGGACGTGGAGATCGGCTTGCAGGAGCGGAACGGTCAGCTGGAAGTGGACATCATCCAGGCTCGGGGTCTGACGGCCAAGCCAGGCTCCAAGACACTGCCAGGTGTGGGGGCTGCCCACCCGTCTGCAAGGCCAGGGTGGAGGTCTGGGAGGATGTCCCGAGGGGTAGCTGGGTCTAGAGGAGAGAAGATGGTGTCCAACTGGGGGTCTCCTTCCCCCTAAAGCTAGTGACTCCTGTGTCACTGGCAGTTTAGAATTTATTCTGGAGACCCAGTTGAAATTGTCCATTGACCTTGTCCACCTCCTTGACTGCACTGAGCTCCTGGAGGTTCAGAGACCATCTTTGGTTTTTTTTTGTGTGTGTGTGGTTCTACCATTTGTGATTCTACCCTAGCACCTGGTAGGGTGCATGGAATGCCTTGAGTGTTCAGCAAACATCGGAGTGAGTGGGTCAGCCATGAGTGTGTAAGCCCAGGAACGGTGGGCAGGCCAGGGACTGAGAGAGGGAAAGGGTGGGCAAAGGGGCAGGCAGGCAGGACCCCTCAAGAGGGTAGTGTAGACCCCAGCCAACCCTGACTGCACCCCACCCCTGTTGCCTCGTCCCTGGACTCCCTGGAGGCACCCCGATCCCCAGCAGTGGGTCTCTTTGCTGCACCCTTTGCCCACCATTGGAGGCCCAAGCTACAGCTCACCCTGCTGACCTCTGTCCTTAGCGGCCTACATCAAGGCCTACCTGCTGGAGAACGGCGTCTGCATTGCCAAGAAGAAGACCAAAGTCGCTCGCAAGTCGCTGGACCCGCTGTATAATCAGGTGCTGCTGTTTCCTGAGAGTCCCCAGGGCAAAGTCCTGCAGGTGAGGGGCCAGGGGCGGGCAGGGGGGTGCCCTCTGCAGGGCCTCACCTGGAGAAAGCAGGGCACTCTGGTGGATCTGAGCGCCACCATTTGTGGTGTGACTTGGAGCAAGTTCCTTTCGGAGCCTCAGCTTCTTTATCTGTAAAATGGGGATGGTAACAGTAGCCGCTGGTAGTTACCAGCGGAATGCGTGCTTCGTGCGAAAAGGTATTTGCAAGTTTGACCTGTAGTAATGATGATGATCACCATCATCACCAGCCTCTGGAGGCCAGGGGCTTAGCATGGAGTGCAGTGCTAATAGACTGAAAGCCTTTTGAGGATCCAGAGATCTTTGGCTCCCTGACTTTTAGGAAGATCCTAGTGGTCACCTTGGAGAAGGCAATGGCACCCCACTCCAGTACTCTTGCCTGGAGAATCCCATGGACGGAGGAGCCTGGTAGGCTGCAGTCCATGGGGTCGCTAAGAGTCGGACATGACTGAGCAACTTCACTTTCACATTTCACTTTCATGCATTGGAGAAGGAAATGGCAACCCACTCCAGTGTTCTTGCCTGGAGAATCCCAGGGACGGGGGAGCCTGGTGAGTTGCCGTCTATGGGGTCACACAGAGTCGGACACGACTGAAGCGACTTAGCAGCAGCAGCAGTGGTCACCTAGGGCTTCCTTGGTAGTTCAGCAGAAAAGAATCCATCTGCTAATGCAGGAGACATAGGTTTGAAGAAGGAAATGGCAATATACTCTAGTACTCTTGCCTGGGAAATCTCATGGACAGAGGAACTTGACAGGTTACAGTCCATGGGGTCAGAAACAACTCAGCAACTAAACAAAAAACAACAAAAGATGTTTGCTGAAACTAGCGATAGCTGCCCATCGTGGGGTCGGCAGGGCCCAGGCTGGATGCCTTAGGAGCCACATGCCTACTCTCTTTGAGCTGCCGTTTGTTTTTGTTTGTTTGTCTTTGTTTTTGAAAATACTTATTTTTTTGGCCACTCTAGGTCCCAGTGCAGCACGTGGACTCTTAGTTGTGGCATGTGGGATCTAGTTCCCTAGTTGACCAGGAATCACACTCGGACGCCCTGCATTGAGAGTGTGGAGTCTTAGCCGCTTGACCACCAGGGAGGTCCCTCAGAGCTGCTATTTGGGCATCTCTAGTTTACACCTCAGTCTCTTTCTCGTAACCTGAACAGGCAGAACACACAAGGGTAGGGCCAAGGTGTTACACGTCTCCAAGACAGTGGGCTTTTGGCAAACTGGAAAGTCCAAGTCCTGTCTAGGACACAGTCTTTCAATTTGTAGGTTGTGACCCATCAGCAATTTATGAACTTGGTTTAGTGGTTGTTTTGTTTTTTTTAATGGAATGGAATAGGAAATAGGAAAGAAATGGAAAATAGGACTAGGAAAGAAAACATTTCTCATTCTTAGTAAGGCAAGTCTTATTTGGTGGAACCACGTGCTTCAGTTGTGAATCTCACATGTTCATTGGATGATGATTTAAATGTCTATCTTGCTGTATATATCAGTCAGAATAAAGTTTGGAAAAATCTTTCTGATCTAGAGGTATTCAAAGACAATTTAAAACAACCAGAAGGCCATCTGGGGGCCACACCTGTGTTTTCCGGCCTGAGCATCTTTGTAGAAGCTCCAGAGCACAACCTGTCTGGGATGCAGAAAGATAGAGAAATAAAAATATGGCATGTGGGTTCTTGCTGCTGAGCCTTCTGACTAATGTCAGGGCAAGACAGACCCACAACAATTGAGTGATGCCAGCTGTGTTCATCTGCTAAAGCTGCCATAACAAAATACCATAGACCTGGGGTCTTAGATAACAGAAGTTTATTTCTTACAGTTCTGGAGGCTAGAAGTCCAAGATCAAAGTGTCACAAGTTATGTTTCTTCTGAGGCCTCTCTCCTTGGCTTGTAGATGGCCACCTTCTTGCTATGAACTCATACGGTTCTTTTTCTACACCCAGGCATTCCTGGTGTCTGACTGTGTGTCCTAATCTTCTGTTCTTATGACAACACCAGTTAAAATCACATGCCACACTAATGGCCCGTTTTAATGTAATCACCTTAAAGGACCAGTCTCCAAATACAGTCATGTTCTGGGGTTAGGGCTTCAATATGAAATTGAGGGGCATGCAATTAAGCCCATAACACCGATGATAACAGATCCATTCACACACTCAGACTTGGGCTGCTTTTTTTTTTTTTAATTGAGGATATAGTTGCCGTACAATGTTCTGTTCGTTTCTGCTGTATACGGAAGTGACTCAGCCTTCTGTGTACATATATCCCCTCCCTCCGGGGCCTCCTTCCCACTCCCCAGCCCCCTAGGTGACCACCAAGCACCACGCTGGGCTCCCTGTGCTCCACAGCAGCTCCCACTAGCTCACAGTTTTACACATGGTGTCCGATCAGTTACCAAGGGGGCATTGACAGCTTATTAGTTGAGTGACCTCGGGCAAATGATTTAACCTCCCTGAGCCCCAGTTTAAACAGCTGTGAAATCAGAATCCTTTTTTATAGCGTTGTTGGGAAGACTGAATCTAGGGCTGGTTTAGCCTTAGAACAGTTCCTGACATGCATTAACCAATAGCTGTGGCCCGTGTTGTTTGCCTATCTCTCTGCATGCTCGAGGAACGGCTTACAGCTTACAGTGAGCCTCCACATTTATTATCTCCTGTGATCCTCACCCTCCAGGTAAGCTGAGTGTGGATGATTCCATTTACAAACAAGAACCCTGAGTCTCGGTGAGGCTCAGTGACTTGGCCCAAAACGACCTAGACAAGACTGGAACTTGACCCTACATATGTCTGACCCTGAAGTATGTGCGTCAAGACAGTAGGTCTTGTGAGCGATAAGCCAGCCCACGTTTAGAGAGGGGCATTAGAACCTGAGGAGAGCAAATGAGGGTCCGACAGCCACAGAGAGCACCCGTCTGGCCGCTCTAAGAGGAAGGTAGAACGAGGAGTGGGGAAGGTGCTGCACAGATGAGTCTGTTGGAAAAGCAGAAGGAGGCTAGTATGTGTGTTCTACATGTGGCAGCCACTTTTAAAAAACTGAAGTATAATTGATTTACAATGTTGTGTTACTTTCCAATGTGCACCAAAGTGATTCACTTTGTTTTTTCAGATTTTATTCTACTATAGGTTATTCCAAGATACTGAGTATAGTCCCCTATATGTGTGTGTGCACGCTTAGTTGCTCAGTTGTGTCCAGCTCTTTGCAACCCCATGGACTGTAGCCCACCAGGCTCCTCTGTCCATGTGGATTCTCCAGGCAAGAATACTGGAGTGGGTTGCCATGCCCTCCTCCGGGGGATTTTCCCAACCCAGGGATCGACCCCAGGTCTCCCACATTGCAGGTGGATTCTTTACCATCTGAACCAGCAGGGAAGCCCATAGTCCCCTATGCTATACAGTAAATCCTTGTTGCTTTTCTATTTTATATATGGTACTTTGTTGATCCCATGCTCCTAATTTGTCCCTCCCTTCCTTCCCTTCCCTTCCCCTTTGGTAACCATAACTTGTTCTCTGTGTCTGTGAGTCTATTTCAGTTTTGTATATACATTCATTTGTGTTATTTTTCTAGATTCCACATTTAAGTGATATCATATAGTATTTGTCTTTCTCTGTCTGACTTCTTCACCAACTATAATATATTCTAGGTCTATTCACCTTGCTGCAAATGGCAGTATTTCATTGTTTTTAAAGCTGAGTAATATTCCATTTTGTGTGTGTGTGTGTGTGTGTGTATACATATCATATCTTCTTAAGCCAGTTGTCTGTTGATGAGCACTTGGATGGTTTCCATGTCTTGACTGTTGTAAATAGTGCTGCTGTGAACATTGGGGTACATGTATCTTTTCAAATTAGAATTTTCATCTTTTTCCAGATATATGCCCAGGAGTGGGATTGCTGGATCATATGGTAGCTCTAGTTTAAATTTTTTAAGGACCCTCCATAGTGGCTGTACCAATTTACATTCTCATGAACAGCAGAGGAGGATTCCCTTTTCTCCCTGTCCTCTCCAGCATTTATTGTGTGTAGACGTTTTGATGATGGCCGTATTGTCTGGTGTGAGGTGATACCTCATTGTGGTTTTTGATTTGCATTTTTCTAGCAGTGATGTTGAGCATCTCTTCATGTGCCCATTGGCCATCTGTATGTCTTCTTTGGAAAAAGATCTGTTTAGGTCATCTGCCCATTTTTTAATTGTTTTTCCCCCAGTGTTGAGTTGTATGAGTTGTTTATCCATTTTGGATATTAACCCTTTGTCAGTCTTACTATCTGCAAGTTTTTTCTCCCATTCCTGTCACTTGTCTTTATGTTTTTTGATGGTTTCCTTTGTTGTGGAAAAGTTTTTTCTACGTTTGATTAGGTCCCACTTGTTTATTTTTGCTTTTCTCTCTTTTGCCTTGGGCAAGCGATCTATGAAAATATTGCTACTGTTTATGTCAGAGAATGTTTTGCCTAAGTTCTTTTCTGGGAGTTTGATGGTGTCGTGTTTTACGTGTTTAAACCATTTTGAGTTTACTTTTGTATATGCTGTGAGAGAGTGTTCTAATTGTATTGATTTACATGTGGCTGCTCTACTAACCACTTTTATTTTTTAAATTTATTTAAAGTTTTTAAAAAATCTTATTTATTTTCTTTATTTGTCTGTGCCAGGTCTTAGTTGGGGCATGTGGGATCCAGTTCCCCAACCAGGGACCAGCTCAGGCCCTGCATTGGGAGAGTGGAGTCTTAGCCACTGGACTACTAGAGAAGTCTCAACTACTAACCCCTTTTAAAACCTTTATTTCTGAGGATCTGGAAGCAGAGGGCAGATGGATGAGGGGGGTAGGTAGGACACTCACAGTGTAGGGTCAGCCATCAAGGCTGTGCCTCAAAGATGGGGTAGGTGGAAAGAAAGAGCAAGATTGGAGGCAAGCAGCCCATCATCCAGGAGCGTCTGGTGGGACCTGAGCCATTTTAGGGTGGTGGACTCCCAGGCCTCGGAGATGAATAAGGCATGCGGTGACCCCAGGTTCCGTTTCTGGGCCTGTGAGCGGCGTTGGCAGGATCCGAACCACGGTGTCTCTTGCCCCGCAGGTCATCGTGTGGGGCAACTACGGGCGGATGGAGCGGAAGCAGTTCATGGGCGTGGCCCGCGTGCTGCTGGAGGAGCTGGACTTGACCACCCTGGCCGTGGGCTGGTACAAGCTCTTCCCCACCTCCTCCATGGTGGACCCAGCCACGGGCCCCCTGCTCCGGCAGGCGTCCCAGCTGTCCCTCGAGAGCACCGTGGGGCCCTGCGGCGAGCGATCTTAGTGCCGGGGAGGGGGAGGGGCTCCCCGAGATGGTCCGGAGACCGCCCAGCCCCGACCTGGGACCCCAGGCCCCGGGGCATATTGAACAGAGGAGGCCGGGGTTCTCCCCCACCCAGTGGGGAAGCTGAATGGGGAGACCTGACCCCCCAGGGCCCCTCCTCACCCCTTCTTTGCCTCCTATTCCCCGAGACCTTCCCTCTCCCGATGGGATTGGCTGCACTTTTGACTTGGCCGGTTCTTGACCTGGTGGATGTGTCTGCAGTCCGGAGAACGGAAAGATCGAGGCGGCAGGGCACACCATCCTCCTGCCCCCGACTCTGTCCGACCGCACCCTCTTTTTGCCTCCTTGGAAGCTCGCTGCCCGGAGTCACGTCCAGAACCCAGCGGCCATCTCCATGGTGCCAATTACCAGCAAGTGTCTTTCCTGCGGCACCGGGTTCAGGCAGCTACTCCTGCCCCCCGAGCCTACGGGGCAGCTTTGCAAGGATCCGGCGCCAGCTCCGGGGGCCCCGCGTCCCCGACTTGAAGAGGAGCTCGGGCCTCCCTCCGCCTGCCCATGGAAGGAGCTCTGCCGCCGACTGTTTGAGTCCATCTGTCCGTCCCGGCTCTAGGACACGGGGTCCAGCAGGGACCAGGGGAAAGGAAGGGGCTGCCCGGGGACTGGCAGGGACCCCCAGAGCACTGGCTCAGTGGGGTTGTAAGAAGCTAGTTTGCACACTGTGGGCGGACTGGAAAGAACTCTGTTGGCTGTGTTTCAACCGAGGAGCTGCGGGACCCTGATTTTCGAGAACCCCAGCCCCAGAGAGCTCACCAATCTCTGAATTTGGGGGATGCTGGTTTGGAGAGGGATTCTGAAGAAAGCTGGGATTGGGACTGATGGTGCCAAGGCGAGGGATTCCCAGGTAGGAGAATCCCTCCTTGTGGAATGAGGTCAAAGGTCATCTTGTCTGGCCCTCTGCCTCCAGGCTAAGGGCCTGGGGAGGCACCCGAGCCCCCCAGTTTTAGTCTTTTTAAACCAACCATCCTGTACTAAGGGCAGAACCCACTGCTCCGGCCTCAGTGACCTTGGCTCAAGGAGAGAAAGACAGTGAGGCGAGACAGGAGTGTGAGAAAGGGGAGATTCCTTCTTGAGCAGGCCCAGGGGGCTGCCTTCCCGGCCCTGCCCGGCCCGGTCCTCCCCGGAGCCTTCGGAAGCCCTTTTGCATGCGGGGAGGACGCAGGCTGGTCCCTTCTGTAGAAGCACATTTCTGCCACCTCCCCTGGGAGGCACCCAGCCACCCACACCCCACACCCCTCCCATCATTCCCTAGTCCTGCTGTGTAGGACGTAGTCTTGGTTAGCCGGGTAGGCTTAGAGTGCCTGGCCCTGGGCCTGGTCTTAGCTTCACATAGAGTCCTTACAGAGGGGATGGAGAAAATTCCAGGAGGCAGCCTTCTCCCTGCCGGCCTGGCCTGGGTCCAAGCCTGGACCTGGTTCAGGGGAGGCTGGCCCCTCCTCCTTCTCCTCCTCCTCTCTTTCCTCCCCCTCCTCATGTAGGGTTGTAGCCAGAGCCGCCCCTGACACTCAGATGTTCTGATTTATTACCCTTGGGACTGATTTTATTTAGGAAGCGCTTCTGAGGATGTGGGCCTTGGCAGAGGGGGCCTGGGCTCCATCAGAGGAGGTGGCTTTCCACTGAGGATTGCCCGACTATGTTCTGTCCCACCTTGTCCCCACTCCCCACCCCACCCCCCCCTTTAGGCTGTGGACCAGGTGAGTCCTTCCACCTGGAACTCCCTTCTCCCCTGGCCTGTTCCCAGCCCTGGGCATCCTTTGAAGTCCTGGTTGAGTTATAGCGCCCCCGCTGCATGGGCATGGGGAGATGGAGGCGCTCCCTCCTTGGTTCAGGAGGCCTTCTGAAACTGAAATCCCAAGGCTGGGGCGGAGGCAGCGGGGTTCAGAATTGGCCCCTCCCCTGTGCTTTTTTTTTTTTTTTTTTAAAACCAGTGTGATTTCTCTGCCGTTTGTTTATTACTCACCATTCGGAATATTTTGAGCCAGGAGAGCGCCTTCTCTCTCCAGCTGTCATTGCTCTGGTAGTTCAGGGGTAGCATTTCAAAGCCGGGGTGGGGCCTGGCTGTCCCAACCTGAGGACAGGGCGGGGCACAGCCTTGCTCCCCAACCTGAGCCCGCCCTGGTGGGGGGTGGGCCTGCACAGCCTTTATAAAGAGAGAAGGCGCTCCAAAGCAATAACATCCTGAGGGTGGTCACCGAGGGCCCCCCTCAATGACTTTCTGTTCGTTCTGTGGTTTCTCAGCTCACCTCCCGGAGGGGTGGCATGGCATGGGGGCTGGAGCCCTCTTTCTTTGTATCATCGTTGTGAGCACATGGCCGCCTTCCAAGGGGCTCCAACCATTGAGCGTAGGGACCCCCCCTCCCCGCCCCATCTGTCCTCACCCAGGGATGGGGGCTTGGGGAGGGAGTGGCTGGGGAACCTTCCGGCCCGCTCCTGTCTGATCCTTTGCCAGCTCAAACTCCCCCATTCGGAGAGGAGCTGAGAGGGTGGCACTGGGGGAATTAGGGGTGTTGGGGGACCTGGGGGTCTCTAGGGGATGGTGGTTCTTTTTTCAGTCTCTGGGCCAAAGGTCACATGCTGGGGTACAGTGGGAGGGAGTCATCTCCACTTTTCTTCTCTGGAATCTGCCTGTCACACTAAAAGGAAAGGGGCTTTGGGACCATCAGTGAAATGATTTCCATCTTAACAAAGAGATCACAGGCCCCTGGGGTCACCTGTGAGTTCACAACACTGGCCATCTGGGCCTCCTCAACCTCCCAGAGGCTGAGCTGGAGCCAGGGCAGGACTAAGTGGGGCCACCATCTCCCCCCGCCCCCAATATTTCCTCTGCCCTTCTCTCCGTGGCCTTCTCCCAGGGGCCTTGAAAAGATGGGCAGTGCCGATTGTTGTCCATCTGACGGGGCAGGAAACCGAAGCTCAGCATCAGTAAGTGGCTTGCCCAAGACAAGACCCCTCAGCAATGAGGCCAGAGCAGAAGCCGCTCTGTCCTTACTCCAGGGGACAGCAGACCATTGCTCCTGGGCACATCTGCCATAAGGACCTGTGATCTTTAGACCCTGCTTGCTTGCATCTCAATGGGCCAGTAGCTTTTCTGGGCCTTGGGTTTGGGGGGAAGGGTTGCCATAGAGACCTTGTTCTCTTGGGTGGGGGTTGGGGGGTCTGCCTTGACTGATGTGAGGCTGTGCAGGCCGTGGTCCTGGTCTTGATCTTAAGTGGGGACTCCCCCCCACTCCAGAGACCACAACCCCTCTGGGACCATTCTGAGGGAGGGGCCAGACACCACTTCCTGGGGGTGTGTGGGAGTGAGGGGGGCGGTGGTACTCACCTTAAGGCATTTCCCCCCCAAACCTTCAGATGGAATAACAACGGAACTTCTCAGAGTGCTTTTCATACCTTTTTGTTTTCAAAGTGCTTTAATCTCCCGTGTACTCTCACAAGAGCTCCTGGGCAGTCAGTGGGGGCCTGGGTGAGTTATCAGCCCCATTTTACAGAAGAAGCTGAGGCCCGGGGAGGGGAAGGTGCTCGCTAAGATCCCACTGTGAGTTGATGGCTGAGCCCAGATCTCCAGCGGTTCAGATCTCTTTTCTTCAGTACGGGGCAAAGCAGAGTTGAGGTCATGCACTTGACAAGCTGATCCACAGTCCAGCTCCTTACATCTGGAGCTCATGGGCACATCTCAGCGGTGAGAGGCACCGCTGAGCCCCGCTGCCCTTGGAGCACAGCTGTTGCGTTAGGCAAGGCCACCTGCATTTATTTATTGAGCAGCAGCCCTGTGCCAGACCCAGGGGACGGGGTGCCCCGACTCCATCTCCCACTGTCCTGTAACGACTTGTCTGGGCTCCAGGAAGCCCATGTCTGTATAGCGGCACCTCTGAGTGGACGGAAAGCTTTCGGGTCCATGAGCTCATCTGACTCACAAACCCCACCCGGGAGGCGCTGACTGTGCCCGTTTGACTCATAGCTTCTGTGAGGGCAAAGTGGAGACTTGAACCGGGGCCTTGGAATCATCTCTGAGCCCTTTCACCCCACCACTGCCTCCTGAGGGGGTGGCAGGAAGGCAGACCCCTGGTCCTCAGGCCCATTCTCCATTCACCTTTCCCCTCTTCCCTCTCCAGGAGCAGGAGCCCCTCAGGCTTTGGGGGAGGGAGGGTTTCTGGGGCCCCTGGGTTGGAGCAGGTCACGTTGCATTGTGTTCATGACCATGTAGCTCATGTTGAAAATTAAAGTTTTTGGCTTTTCTAACCCAGCCTGCTCTGTTTTGTGTTGATGCAGTTCTCTCTGGGATGCTGAGGGCCGTTAATTTTAATGACCTGAGTGCTGTGGGATGTCAGCTTTGTTAGTGTCCATTTATGGGTCTGGGGCCCATCCCGGGACCACTTCCAGAGATGCACAGGAGGGAATGGCACTGGGTGAACCCATTTTACAGATGTGGAAACTAAGGCCCAGGGAGGGGATGAGAATTCCCTGAAGTCCCATTGTGGGTGATTGGCAATAAACAGACCTCACAGTTCCCAGAAGAGACTGTGGCCCAGGGACTGCCCTGGCAGTCCAGTGGTTGACTCCACACTTAAGAGAGTAAAGATTTGATCCCTAGTCAGGGAACTAAGATCCCACATACTGTGCAGAGCGGCCAGGGGTTGGGGTGGAGGAGAAGACTGGTCCAGATAGTCCCAGTGACATGGTGGGTGTCAGCAAGAGCCCCTTCCCCCATCCGAAACGGGCTGGCCAAGGACAAAGAACATGAGATTCGGGGCTGGGGCCAGTTTCACTCTACATGCCCAGTAAGAGAATGAGTAGTATTTAAATAGTGCACAATTTGCCCAGTGGTCCACGCTGGATGGTAAATGTTTCTCTTGGGTCCATCTGATCCCCGTGCTTCTCATAGTGGGAGCCGCTGACCTCACTGGTTAGGATTCCAGTGTGGGAAGCCGCGCATTTCCCCCACAACACGGAAAGCCCACGTCACACAACAGAAAAACGGGCCTGTGGAGAATGCGCGTGGCCACGCCTTCCTAGAACAATTTGGACCACATGGGACTTGCACCTAGGGGGCAACTTAAGAGTCGTGCTTTTGCTTATGATGCGACTTTTAATGTATTTTTGGAGAGGAGGGCGGGGCTCGCGCCACAGAAGGGAGTGAGAAACTGCTCGTGGCAGAGGACGGCATTGAGGCCACGGCCCCTCAGCCCTTCTACAAGCTCTGGGGAGGGTGCGCGGACAGGTGAATCCAGACCAGGTTCTAGGATCCAGGTTCTAGGCTCGACCCCCCGGATGAGTGCTGTGGGATTTCTGGGGCCCATCCCAGGACCACTTCCAGAGATGCACAGGAGGGAAGGGCTATCAGATGGACTTCCGCCGGGCCGGGGGCCTGCCGGCTCTGCCGCCGCCCCCAGCCCCGGGGCTGGCGGGGGGCGAGAAGCCGGGATTGTCGCGGGCGCACAGCTCCAGCGGGTGCAGGCGGCAGGAGATGGAGATGCGGCCGACGCGCTGCGCCGGGGCTCGGCTCTCGGGCGCCCCCCGGCGGAGCGGGCGGGCAGCGCGCTCAGGCGCGTCCGCGCCGGCCGCCAGGAAGCGCAGGACCACGAGGTTGAGGAAGGCGCCGATGACCGTGAGCCCCAGGAGGATGTACAGGAAGCTGAAGGCCACGTAGGGCGGCTTCCTCTGCAGCGCCTCGTCGTTCTGCAGCGCCACAAAGTCGCCGAAGCCGATGGTGGTGAGGGTGATGAAGCAGTAATAGTAGGCGTGGAAGAAGGTCCAGCCCTCGAAGTGCGCGAAGGCGGCGGCCCCGAGCGCCAGGGTGGCCGCGCACACCAGCAGCCCGGCCACCGCCATGTTCTCGGGGGACACGCGCGGCCGCCGCAGGCCCAGGCAGCGCTTGGCCGCCAGCAGGAGGCGCCGCACCAGCGCGTTCAGCCGCTCGCCTAGGCTCTGGAAGGTGACCAGGGTCAGGGGGATGCCCAGGAGCGCGTAGAACATGCAGAAGACCTTGCCCGAGTCCGTGCCCGGCGCGGCGTGGCCGTACCCTGGAGCAGGAAGGAAGGGGAAGGCTGACGCGTGTCCATGTCCCTCTCACACACTCTCACACACAGGTCTTCCTGCCAGGTCTCTCTCCCCATCCTCCAGAGCCCGCAGAGCATGTGGAAATGCTAGTTCGAACTAGGTCATTCCCTCAGCTTTAAAACCTTGTGTGACTACCCATAATCGGCCCAAGTTGTAAACAACCTAGAATGTCCCTCACCTGGGGAATGGATAAACAACCTGTGGTATGTCCATACAACGAAATAATTCTTTTCAGCCACAGGAAGGAAGGAACTGCTATTTCCCCAGCAACAGAAGATGGATCTCAAATGTTTTATGCTGAGTGAAAGGAGCCAAGTTCAAAAAGCTACATATTGCTTGGTTCCATTTAAATGACATTCTGTAAGATAACTGGCAAAACTTCTGTGGCAAAACTGTAGGATCAGAGAACAGACCTGTGGTTGCCAGTCCTTGGAGCTGAGGAAGGGGAGTTAATGAACTGCAAACAGGCACGATGGAATTTTGGGGAGTGATAGAAATGTTCTGCCTTGAAATCATGGCTGCAGTTACACGGCAGGTTTTCATTTGGCAAAACCCACACGAGTGTACACTGAAAAAGAATGAATTTGAATGTCTGTAAATTGTGCCCTTGATAGAAAAAAAAAAAAATCTGTTGTGGCTCCCCAGTACCCACAGGGTAAAGTCCTTGTTCTCAGCTAATCATGATGTGAGCTCCCTCCCGCCTCCAGCCTCACGCCATGTTTCCCCACCGCCCTGTCCTTTTCTCGTGACTTCCCTCCACTCAGTGATCTTTTCCCCCTGCCCGCATCCATGTCGCCCTTCCCAGTTCCTGTGCCAGGCCAGCTCTCATGAAACACCTCTTCAGTCTGGTGGAGTCCCTCACTGAGTCCCCTGAACTGTGTAGGGAACGTAAACATGAGTGGGCTTCCTTGAGTCTGGGCACACAGAACAATCACTATGGGATTAGTGGCTGTGTTCTCTCTTCCAGGACCCAAGGAGTGAAAGCTTTCATGGTATTCTCAAAGGGCCCCACAACCCAGGAAAAGTCAGGTGTCCCTTCCCCCATAGAATATGCCTCTTCTAGCAAATTGGCCCCATCTGCCGAACGATAAATACACCTTTGGCCCGTGCTGCTCCCCAGTGAGGGAAGTTGTCCCCTAAAACATACACATGTGCAAAGTGATGTGTGCACGTGCGCTGTCGTTGCCACACTGTTGGTGACAGCAAAAATAAGACACAGCCTAAATGTCCATCAAAAAGAGCCTGGTGAAACCAGCCATGGTGCCATCCCACGATGGTTGTGGTTCCAACTGAGGGCGATTTAGCCCCTGAGAGGACCATTGGCCATGTCTGGAGACAGTGTCGGTTGTCACACGTGGGAGCTATCGGCATCTGGTGGGTACAGGCACAGGACAGTCCCCACAGTCAGAATTTGTTGTTATTTTTCAGTTGCTAAGCCATGTCCGACTCTCTGCGACCCCATGGACTGTAGCCTGCCAGGCTCCTCTGTCCATGGGATTTCCCAGGCTAGGATACTGGAGAGGGTTGCCACTTCCTTCTCCAGGGGCTCTTTATGATCCAGGGATCAAACCTGCACTTCCTGCATTGGCAGGTGAATTCTTTACCACTGAGTTACCAAGGAAGCCCACCAGAATAGCCAGTCCAAAATGTCAACAGTGCCAAGGTGGAGAAGTCCTGCTAATCAGCCATGAAAAAGAGGACACAGTTCTTCAGGGACTGATGTAAAGAAATAACCAAAATATACGAAGTGAAAAAAGGAAGAGACAAAAAGGCATGTGTAACATAATGTCTCTATCACGTATAAAAGTGAAAGTGACTCAGTCGTGTCCGACTCTTTGCAACCCCATGGACTCTATACAGTCCATGGAATTCCCCAGGCCAGAATACTGGAGTGGGTAGCCCTTCCCTTCTCCAGGGGATCTTCCCAGCCCAGGGATCGAACCCAGGTCTCCCGCATTGCAGGCAGATTCTTTACCAGCTGAACCACCAGGAAAGCCCAAGAATACTGGAGTGGGCAGCCTATCCCTTCTCCAGCAGCTCTTTCTGACCCAGGAATCGAACTGGGTTCTCCTGCATTGCAGATGGATTCTTTACCAACTGAGCTACCTGTGTGTGTTATAAAGGAATATATAGGCAGAGAAGATACTTGGAAGGATACTCAAAAAACAGATAACTGCATTTGATCCAGAGAAAGGAATTTATAGGTTGACAGATGCGGAGAAAGGGAGACTTCCTTTTCATCCTATACCTTTTGTACCATGTGAAGTGTGTGCATATATAACATTTGAAATATTAACACTATATACATATATATATTTAAAGATCTATGACTCCATGTTCATGTTTCTACGTCATGGCCCTATTAGTCTGCCTCTATCTATTTGAGGAGCAGGGACCCTGCTGCCACTAAACTGTGAGGTCCTTGAGGCCAGAGACCAGTCTAGTCATTTATTGTGTACCTGATCACCAGTGCCCTGCACAGACTAAGAACTCAATGAAAGTTTAATAACTAATAATAATAATACTCAGACCAGATTGAAGGAGGTGCAGAGTGCAAGACGGAGGAGCGTCTTTAGAAATAAAAGGCCAGGCAGTGCTGTTTCCAGTCGTTTGTCTGGTTTTGACAGAGAGGAAGATGAATAATGATAATAACTAAGCATGCTAGGTACTCTACATGGATTATTTTATTTAATCGTCCCAATGACTGTATGAGATTACTATCCCCATCTTACTGATAAGGAAACTAGGCTCAGAGGGAGAAAGCTGCCCAAAGGTCACAGGGTTGAGCTATTAACCACCATCCTCCATAGCTTCTCGGTGGCTCTTTTCTGTCCGTGCAAAGCTCAACCCCTGGGTTCTGTCCCGTGGCCCTGTGCAAGGCTAGCTTCTGCAGCCTGGACCACACAACCATACTGGCGCCCCCAGGTGGTCCAAAGCGGTAAAACTGCTATTTCCTCAGTCGCTTTCCACACCCTGGTCCCTACTCCCTCCCTATCCCAGGTGCAGGTCAGAGGCCAGCAGTCAGAAGTGGAGGCCGCCTCCAGCTGGGAGGCCTCCAAAATGTAAGGGAAGGCAGAGAAGGTAGACAGGGTCCCACACCACTGGGTGCAGTGAAAGGGAGGGTCTTCGGCTGAGCCCAGATAGAGAAGCAGGGGTGCCCAGGCTGACAGGAGGGGTCAGAAGGGCTAACAGGAGCTGGGCCCACAGTTGGCAAATAACGAATTGTCATTATTGTTAATTATCAGTCCCTACTGAGCCTCAGGACTGTGCTATGCATTTTACCCGCTTGGCCTCACTTAAACCTGGCAATCACTCAGTGAGATGGCAACATTTGCACGTTGTAGTTGAGGAAACCGGGGCTCAGAGAGGTACAATCAATTGCCAGAGAAGGCAGGAGGCAACAGAGATGAAAACCAGAACTCTGGCCTATGTAATTTCGGAATGCAGGCTTTCAACTTCACTGCTAAACCCACAAACTCACACTGACTTGCAGGAGCATTCAGGAGGAACTTTCTCCGCAGCACCGGTTTCCAGGGTGGTGGTCCAGGCCCAAAGAGACACTGGGACCTCCAGAGCCAGCCTGGGGGAGTGGCTGGCACCCAGCATGGAGCCCAGAGAGCCTGCTCCTCCCCGTTTCTGCTTCCCCAGGCTTGGGCTCCGCAGGTATCAACCAGTCGGTAGCCATGGCAACGGTTGGCGGTCCAGATGCTGCAGAGAAAGTGCTCTGAATCCCCGAGGGTGAGGTCCAAAGCTGGTGATAATCAGTCATTCCTTTAACAAATATTTATTGAGTGTCTACTACAGGCTAGGCACTGACCATATTGCAGGAACTAAGACAGATTAGGCTTCTGTTCTCTTTTTTGTTATAATACAAAAATCAATCCCCCCGCCCTTTTTTTTTAGTGCTTTCTACTTGTCACGCCCTGTGCTAAAACTTTCTACATATATTATCTCCTTAATGAAAACTGTCTCACTACAGCCTTGAGATACGGCCTATTAGCAACCCTCTTTTACAGAGGAGAAAACCTAAGGCTCAGAGAGGTTAAGCAACTGGTCTGAGGTCACACAGCTAACGTGATGCGCCGCACCCCCCCCCCCCCCCCGCCCCCCGCAGACAAGGAAGCAACTCCAGCCACTTGGGCTTCCGACTCCACTTTATCAGTCTCGCAGCCCCTGCCACTGCCTCTTGGCAACGGGGACCTACTGGCTCCTCCCAGCCGGGCCGGCGTGGAACCACAGAGAGCCCATTCGACAGAGGGAGGCAAGTGAGGCTCGGCGAGCTGAAATGACTGCTCCAAAGTCACCCCGCCTGGCGGAGGCAGAGGTGGGATTGAAACCCCGGGACGCCGCGGACTCCTGGGGATGGAGCGAGCGTGGAGGGGAGGTGCCGGGGGCCGCTCACCGATGGTGGTGATGACGGTGATGGCGAAGTAGAAGGAGCCGGCGAACTTCCACTGGCTGCCGGCGCGGTGCGGCTCGGCTTGCCGCGCCAGGCGCTCCAGCTCGCGGTAGTCCTCGGCCGAGAAGCCGTACTTCCTCCGCAACTCGCTCCGCTTCTGGGCCAGCAGCCGCTTGCGGCCGCTCTCCGCCTCGGACTCGAGCGCGTCGAAGACGGCGGCGCCCACCAGGAGGTAGGAGAGGATGCACAGGACCAGCGCGGCGGTGCGCGCGCTCTGCTTCCTCATCGCAGAGCCCCGGGCCCCGCTCCCCGGCCCCGCGCCGCGCTCGCCGCCGCCCCGTCCATGCGCCCCGACGGTCGCCCCGCGCCCCGCTCGCGGCAGGAGTCGGGGCTGCGGGCGGCTGGGGAGTGGCACCCCGGGGCGGCGCCTCGGCGGGGCGGGGCGGGGCGAGGGGGCGACGAGGACCCGGAGGGCTCCTGCGGCTGCCACCTGCCTGCGCCTCCCCTGCCTTTGTTTCCCCGGGGGCGCCCCGGGGCTGTAGCGTCTGCAGGTCTTGACGGCGGGACCGAAGCGCCCAAAGCCCAGCTCTGCAGGCGCCCTATCTCCACCGCACTCCTCGTCCGCTGACCTTGGGCAAGTCATTCATTCCTTCGTTCGGTCGGTCATCCAGCAAATATTTACCAAGCACCTACTGGTACACACAGTCTATTACATTCCTGGTGTAAATAGAGCTGATATCCTCGGATAGAGGGTCGGATGGAAGTCAAACAAAAAGATAATGTAAGAAAAGTGTGAGGGTCTTCTCTGGCGGTCCAGCGGTTAAGACTCCGCGCCTCCGCTGCCAGGGGCGCGGGTTGGATCCCTGGTCGGGGAACTAAGATCCCACAGGCCAAAAATTTAAAAAAAAAAAAAAAAGCGTGAGAAGGAAAACATCCTGTCCTGCAAGGCGGGTGGAGGGTGGGAGTGGCAGGGGCACTTACAGCTGAGATGGTGGAGAAAGTGTCCTTGGGGAGCGACTGGAAGCAGTGCAGGTCCTTTAAGCAGAGAGACCAGGGTGTCTGGAGTCACAGTGACTGGGGTGGGGGTCAGGGTGGGGGTGGGGATTAAAAGGAAGACAGAGAGTCCACTTCACAGGGGGTTTTACAGGCCCTCTGAAAAGTTCCCTGGTGGTTCAGACCGTAAAGGGTCTGCCCGCAGTGTGGGAGACCTGGGTTCGATCCCTGTGCCGGGAAGATCCCCTGGAGAAGGAAATGGCAACCCACTCCAGTACTCTGGCCTGGAGAATCCCATGGACAGATGAACCTAGTGGGTTACAGTCCATGGGGTCGCGAAGACCTGGACACGACTGAGTGACTTGACTTCACTTCACTTCTTCAGTACAATAGAAGACCCTGGAAAGGCTGTAGGCAGGAAGACAAACACCAGCGATCTAATTGACATTTTTTTAAAAAACAGCATTCTGGCTATCTTGTGGGAGAGAGATGGTGGTCCAGAGTGAAGGCCAGTTAGAGGACTCTTGTCCTCCAAACCTGTGCTGAGGGTGCGATGGAGATGGTGATGAGTGGGTGGGTCTGAAATGCTGGGGAGGTGGAGCCAGGCGCACTCGGCCAGCCGCACGCTCACATGACGATGGAGTGAGGGCAGGAGTGACCGGTGTCCCATCCAGGCCTGGTCCGTAAACCTGCCCCACGTGCCAGGCCCCCACCGTTCTTCCCAACAGCAGACAATGCGGGCACCAACCAGCCCATCCCAAAGGAAATCAACCCTGACTATTCACTGGAAGGACTAAGGCTGAGGCTGAAGCTCCAATACTTTGGGCCCCTGATGCGAAGAGCCAACTCATTGGAAAAGACCCTGATGCTGGGAAAGATGAAGGAGGGAGGAGAAGGGGACGATAGAGAATGAGGCGGTTGGATGGCATCACCGACTCGATGGACATGAGTTCGGGCAAATTCCAGGAGATGGTGAAGGACAGGGAAGCCTGGTGTGCTGCCGTCCATGGAGTCACAAAGAGTCAGACACGACTGGGGACTAAACAAGTCTTTAGGCGAGGACAGAGCCCCAGGGTGGGGGGAGCTGGGGAGCTATGACACACTGCAGAAGATGCCCCCAAAGAACACCTACTTTGAACTTCGATGGCATTGAGCCCCTGACGTCTGGAGTCCATCTGTTATTGCAGCTAGTGTTACCCAGATGCGCAGAGCAAAGGACATGCTGATGGGTTAGATGTGGAGGGTGAAGAGGACTTAAGGATGATCCTGGGGTCCCTGGCCTGAATAGCTGGGCACTTGGGGCACCTTCCACTGGCTGCACTCCCTGAGGAATCTACCCCTTCCCACCAGCACCAACGTGATGCTCATGTCAGAGTCCTGGGTGGGCCGGCATGGGTGGGCAGAGTGCTGGGCAGCCTCTCCTACAGCTGTCTGGACCCCCACCCTCCCAGCTCTCTGCTGCAGCTTAAAAAAAATCATTTATTCCTTTGGCTGTGACAGGTCTTAGTTGTAGCATGTGGGATTTTCAGTCTTCTCCCAGGATCTTCGATCTTCTTGCAGGATCTTGGGTCTTCTCACGGGATCTTGGATCTCCCTTGTGGCACATGGGATCTAGTTCCCTGACCAGATCGAACCCTGGCCCCCTGCACTGGGAACCCAGAGCCTTAGCCATTGGACCATCAGAAAAGTCCCTCTGCTGCGTCTTTGACATGCATCACTGTCCCCTGTGATCATTCCAGCCCCTCTCCCCACAGCCCCTTTGCCTTTTTCTTGGCTCCGTCTACATTAAACTTTCAGTTCCTTCTGCAACCCCTTGCTCTGCTTGGAACAGCCTTCTCCCCAGCCCACTCAACAGCCAACATTTATTGAATGCCTGCTAGGAGTACGGCGTTGGTTGAAGCACCTTACATGTGTTAAGGCATTTAATCCTCACAGCTTCTTTAGTAGAGGCAGCTGCCTGACGCTCTCTCTGTCCTGTACCCCTCCCTTCATGGGACATCTTCCCTGACTCCTCGGGTGTCCCTCCTCTGGGCTCCTCGGAGGCTTCCGGCTCCTGCCATCTTGCATTCCTCCCACTGAATTCCCTATGAGTGTCCCGCTGAGGACAGGGATCCCATCTGGGTCACCAGTCTATCCCCAGCACCCAGCTATGACACAGAGCACATATCCAATGACGTGGACGAACAAGCAGCAGAAGTACAAAGAAGTTCAGAGCAGGGACTCTGCACCCCCAGTGCCTGGGGTCATATCCTACTTTTGCTTACCAGTTGTATGAACTTGGGATGCTTCAGTCTCCCTAGTTTCTAGGGGGGTTAGAAAAGTTCCAGTCTCAGAAGATGCTGTGGTCAGCAGAATAATGCTCCCCTCCGCCAAAGATACCTAGCCATGCCGTCACTTCAGTCGTGTCCGACCATGCAGTGTTATGGACTGTAGCCCACCAGGCTCCTCTGTCCATGGGATTCTCCAGGCAAGAATACTGGAGTGGGCTGCCATGCCCTCCTCCAGGGGATCTTCCCGACCCAGGGATTGAACCCACACCTCTTATGTCTCCTGCATTGGCACTCGGGTTCTTTACCACTAGTGCCACCTGGGGACCCCCCAAAGATATGCACATCCTATTCCTGAGCCCTGTGACTATGTTAGGTTATGTGACAAAGGGGAATTGAGGTTGCAGGTGGAATTAAGGTAGCGAATCAGCTGACCCTGAAATGGGCGATCATCCTGATGCTCTGGGTGGGCCCAGTGTGATCAAGGGTCCTCAGAGTTGGAAGAGGGAGGTGGAAGAGAGGGAACCAAGGAGAGGAGGACTTGGCCTGATGTTGCTGGCTTTGAAGATGGGAAAAGAGAGCCCTACGCCAAGGACAGCAGTCTACTTCTAGAATCTGGAAAAGGCAAGGAAACAAAAACAGTTTTGCCAGTGTCTTGATTTTAGCCCAGTGTGATCTGTGTAGACCACCATCCCACAGAACTGGAAAGTAATACCGTTGTGTTGTTCAAGCTGCGCTGTTGTTTAATTGCTAAGTCATGTCTGACTCTTTTGCAACCCCATGGACTGTAACCCACTGGGCTCCTCTGTCCATGACATTTCCTAGTCAAGAATACTGGAGTGGGTTGCCATTTCCTCCTCCAGGGAATCTTCCTGACCCAGGGATCCAACCCGTCTTCTGCATTGGCAGGCGGATCCTTTACCACTGAGCCACTTGGGAAGCCCATTCGAGGCACTAAGTGTGTGATCATTTGTTACGGCAGCAACAGGGCTCTAGTACAGTGGTTACAAGGATTAAACGAGCCGCTAGGTGTGCCGCCCTGAGAGCAGCGCCTGGCCTGAGGACCCACGTAGCAGTGTTAGCCTGTGTTGCTAGTATCACAACAGAGCAAAAGCCCAGGTCTGCACAAGGCTAGACTCAGCTCCTTCCCTGACTCAGTTCTCGGGCAGAATTGGGGGCCAGTGCTTAGGAGAGGGGCATTGGATGCCCCCACCTTCTGAGAAGCTGGAGGGGGCAGCTCAGTGGCCCAGAAGTGAGGGAGCTGGTGCTGCTGTGTCAGCCTTATTTTTGCTCATGGCATCAGCAAGTTTGATTTTCTGATTCCTGCTCAGACTTCAGAGGATCAGAAACCTGGCTACAGTCTCAGACTGGGGTGGGGTGGGGGCACCAAGGACCTACAGCCTGAGAAGGGCCTGGGAAGAGCTTGTGGGGACAGCGTGGGGGTATAGGAATGGTTGCTCCTAGGAGAAGGGCCAGGTCCATCCTAGGGGACAGTTAATGAGTCCTGGTCCTGGACACAGCTGGAGTCAACATGGCCTGGGTTTAGATACTTTCTACCTGAGTATCTGTGGATAGAAGACTTTCCTGTCTGTGTTCCTTGGTTTTCCCATCTGAAAAATGGGAGTAATGTCCGCCTCCTAGGACCACATCCAACATTAGAAAAGACACCGCACGTTGCTTTCCGGGTGCTCAGAAGCCTCTTTTCATCCCTTTTTACAACTATCTGCCTGCAGATGTCCTGAATTCTTTTTCCAGAAGTGGGGGCAAAGCTAAGACTGTGGAACGCTGTGTCTGCACTAGGCATATTCACAGATGTTGCTAAGGGGGTCCTCACTTCCCAGTGCAGGAAGCTGGGGGGCAGGAGAGAAGAGACCCCACGGGCCAAGTCCTCAGGGTCGGGCAGCAGCTGAGTCAGAACTTGAACTCGGGGCTGACTGGCCCCCAAGGTCACAGTCCTTCCGAGACAGGGTGCCGCCTCATCAGGCAAGAGGCTGGGGGCTTTATCACTCTCCGGGGGCCTCTCTGG